GCAGCCGGGCCCGGCGGGGCGGGAGGCGGAGCGGAAGCCTGCGGCCGGGGTTATTGCTGTCGTTTGGCGCCCTCGTCTGTTTTCTTAAAGGCTGTAACAGGGCGAGCACCTTTCCCCCTGCTGCTCCTCGGAAAACCGCAGCCCAGATACCACATCTCCGAGGCACTCGCGTGTGCACACAAGCAAGCCGGCCCAACTTCAGAGTCCAGAAATGTTACTGCGCCACTAAAAAGGAGGGAACGCTTTTTATGTTATTCGGAGCGGGTGGGAAAGACTGTATGAAAAGCCTCAATGTGAGAAAAATAAGTTAAACGCAAGTGCGGCTGTGAATGATCTTTATTAGTGTTATTTTATATTTTACACCTTTTAAATAATACTGATACCTTAGGTTATGTACAATGTATCTTAAAACATAGCTACATTCATCTGCAAGGGAAATAACATGTCATAAAAGACGTTAATAATCTTACACTAAGTAGATGTGAGGTAACAAAACCGTTCCCCGCCATGCAGTTAATCAGTTCACCCCAAACCGTCAACCCACTAATACACTAGGCATCTGATATTTATATTCCCAGCAAACTATACGCGTTTACTGCACCGATGTTTACCGGGTTTGGTTCTGTTTGTGGTGGTGTTGTTGTTGGTGTTTTTTTTTTCCAAAACAACAGCACAGCCTAAAGACCTTTCGGCGTATGTTTATAGATCTTCAAAACCAACAGCTCAGCCTAAAGAACCTCTGGCATTACAGTGACATTAGTGGGCAAAGGGGGAGGAAGTTACAGAGACCGCCGAAATATGGGAGGTTTTGTTAGACGCTGTTTACTCAGTTGTTCTTGTAAGTTTAAAGAGCTGCTTAGGCCTATGGCCAAACTTCTTTTCATTTTTACCTTGAAAGTTATTACTCGAGACATCAAAGAGTATTTCAGTGTTCGCTTATTAAATCTGAGCGGGGAAAAAGAGGTCACGCAACTTAATTGAAATGAAGTTCATATTAAGTCAGCCAAACAACATCTCGGCCAGCTTTTCACCACTCAGAGCGTGCTTGGGAAGACGGACGGGAATACCTGCTTCCTCCTCCTCGGCGGGGCAGGCTGCCAGCAGGAGC